AGAAACATATACGAGGAATTGTACACGTTTCTCTAACGTAGGTAATAGTTTCTGAAGATAATTCATCCATAAAGACAAACGAGTTTTTATATAAACGATTGTAACTAAATGCTGTCCTTTTTACATTTTGGAATACATTAACTTAGAATGAAATATTGCTAATTAAATTTAATTAAGCCAATTTGACAATTTTAATTGCTACAGAAATAATATTACCATTAAATTATAAGTTTTAATACGACCACAATTAGTGCACTTTAATACCTGGATAAAAATACATAAATGCCTAGAAATAGAATGGACGAGTAAAAACCTCAATTGTCTTTTACTTTGCAGAACAATTTCGACTCGTTACAAATTGCAACACCGAAATAATGGACTTTCAAAGCACGAATCCTTTTAATGTTTGGTTAAATCTACTTTCGGGCAATCTGCTACCTATGACCAGCAATTCGTCATTTCCAATATTCTGGAAAATGTACAGTGCTTTCGTGTGGTCGGTCCTAATAGTTTGCTTGGTCACATTAATCCCTGCCTGCTTCTTAGTACCGATAGAGAAAGCATTGAGTGATGGAGTAATTGTTTTGGTCGTTTTTATAGAATTAGTTTTCACCATCGTGCGAATAAACGTGCAGCCAACACTAGTACACCAATTGATACAAAAATTGAATACGATTCTCACAAACACTGAAAACAATAACATGAAGGATATTGTAATAATGAATGTAAATTCCGTGGTGACTCCATTCAAATTTTTCTTAATGTTAGGCACATGTTCTGTTATTGTCTGGGCCAGTGTATCATTCTTAATATTATTCGAAAGGAGTACTTTTTACTACGCAGATTTTCGATCTCCAGCTATTTTTTCTAAAGAAGAGCCATTCTCTATTAATGTTTTCCTATTGGGTAACGTGATATCAATGGTCAGCAATATATACCTTTTTTTAAAAAAGGTTAGCGTGGATATGTATATAGCACATTTAATATCATTGATAACGTCGCAATATCACTACATTGCTTCGAGACTTGTATTAGTATTTCGAAACAGTAATCGACAGGATAGCAGCAGTTTTTCAGAAAATAATTTCACAAATTCCGGCGTGGAGAAAGAAATAAAAAGTTTATGTCAACAACATAATGATGTTATGGAGTAAGTTTATATACATATTTAGAATTAATAAGATTGTAAACTGATTAAGAAATTTTGATTTACGATATACAATTAATGAACATAATATGGAATTTTTAATACAATATATTGAAATATTGACTTACATTTGATCTAATGTTATAGATATAGATACATTCTCTGTTTCAGCATGATGTTAATGTTGAAGAAATTGCTATCTATAAGTATCTTCTTGATATATATGAATAATGTTTTTCGATTCTGTTTCCTTGGAATTATATTTATTACTGTGAGTAATAATATCTATTACATCAGTTATTTTAGAAATACATTCGCATAATTAATAAAACATACGTAACAAGTAGTGCTATTAAATTATTTTAAATTACCACTAGTTATAGTATAGGAACAATGTTTATGAAATTTCAGGTGTTTACGTCAGCGACTTTCGTAGAAATGTTCATGGTGCTTATATACACATGCTCCGCATTAGTGCAGTTCTACATATTGTGCGCTTGTTTCCAGAATTTATCAGAAGCAGTAAGATTTATAATAACAAATATCATTTGTTATTGTCATAAGTAAAAGTTTATAAATAATTTTTATAATTTAAATTGTACAAAAAATTTTCTAAACGATTCGTACTTGTAATATGTTTACGCAAATAATACAGTTATTGACCACATTTTGATTAGCAATGTTAAAAAATATTTTATTTATATAATAAATAAGTAATAAAATTGAAATTTTCATATTATTACAAACTTGTAATTTTTAAATAAATTTTATGATAAGAAAATTTTTTTTGTTTATGTCGAATTTAGAGTACAGATATAACGGATAAAGCATTTCACGAAGATTGGAACCGATTCAGTTTGTCTATAAAGCATTCATTTTTATTGGTGATAACAGCTAGTAA